ATAAGACACTCTTTTTTTGTTTTTGTTTTTTGTTTGTTTGTTTGTTTCATGCTCTCCTGCAAATTGGCTCTCTCACACAAGAGTGCTGGACCAAAAGACACTGGCTCCCACGAGAGCACCCCTAGGAGTACACAGTTGTTGCTTTAAAAGGCCAAACAATGTGATCCACATGCAATTCTTTACCCCAGGGATGAGGAGCCAGTGGCCTTCCAGATGTTGCTGGACTTCCACTACTCCTCAGCATGGCCAGTGGTCAGGGGTGATGAGAGCTGTAGTCCAGCCCTTCTGAATGTGCCCTCATTGGTGGAATGAACATTTGACTCCGTCTCATTGGAACTGCAGTCTCGATATATTTAATTAACCATGGTTTAGCGTTATATCTGAATACAGCCATTACATTTGGGGTAAGGGGGGTGTATTTATTACTATAAATGTATGTATTCTGTCCCCTAAAATAACTTTAACCAAAGGTAATTTCCATTTTTAGAAATACATTAAAGTGTATTTTTCTTGAACATCATAATGGTTAATTAGACAATGGCAACTACTTCAAATGCTTGAGGTAATTTTAAAAAAGCAGAGTATTACTCCCTCCCACAATGATTCACAATTCATTGCTGCCTATAACATCTGCTGGCAGAAGGGCTTTTACATATATTTATATTCACATATTCATATTGTAGAATTTTTATATTATTTTATATTTTGTTCCATTAAAAGAAATTAGTCTAGAAAGACAGGACCAAGTTTAGAAACAGCTTGTTTGCCTTATTCCTCTTTTCTATTAATTTTCCTTTTGAAGGTGGTCGTGTCATCCTTGCCTGCCGAGATATAGCAAAAGGGGAAGCAGCAGCCCGTGAAATTATAGCCGAAACAGGGAATCAGCAAGTTATTGTGAAAAAACTGGACCTGTCTGATAGCAAATCTATACGGGCATTTGCAGAAGATTTCCTAAAAGGTATGACTGACTAAAAGTTGGCACCTGTGTAGTTACTGCATAGTTTAATTACTAGGTGGTCCTGGTCCTAGAGATAATCTATGTGGAGTCAAGAGTTTCATAGGTTTTGTTTAAAATAGAGAGGTATTTGTCTGGCTTCCCTATGTGTTCTTTAAACCAGGGATCAAAAACCATTTTAGACCAGGGGGCACATTTTGAATTTTGAGAGAGTGCTGACTGCTCCAGTGACAAAATTGCTGTAATGGGGGCCATGGCTTAACACAACATGGCTGCCATGGCATAACACAAAAGAAAAGAAAAGAGAGAACAGTCATTGCTGATTTTCCACCCTTACCCCACCCTTGGACATCCTCATGCTTAGCACAGGAAGCCATCTATGTCATGCTGGTCCTGATTGTAGTGAGACAGCTGTTAAAGGCAAAAGATTCCTGTTTTCTACATTTTTAAACAAAGTGAAGGCTGACATCCTGTAGCCATTCACCTGGTGTTATAAGTGACAAAACTGCTCCTTTCCCCTTATGGGGTACACAAGAGCCCATATAGAGTCCTTTCATAGGTTCTCTATCAGTAGGAGAAAATAACAGAGACCAACCAGAGAATATTGAGAAGCAAAGCAGCTAGTAAGCCTGATCTTTATTGACTGTTGCAACAGGGTGCTCCCCCACACACAGGAGAGAGGAGGAGGACCCAGAACAAAGGTGTGTCCGCCCTTATATAGACATTTTCAATTGCCCGCCCTGGAGTCCAAGACCACCCCCAGAAACATCATACATACATGACAGAAGGGGTGTAGCCCAAGACCACACACCAGATACATCATACCTACATCACAGAAAAGGCGGTCTACAACAAACCTGAGTGTGTTGTTTATCTCCTGGCAAGTTACCTGATTGCATTATCTGGCTTTTGGCCACTCTTTTGTTATTATAACTACCGTACTTACCGTTATTCCTGAATCTAGGTCACAGGCTCACACCCTGTTCATATCTTGAATGTGCCCTTAAGACAGGATTTGTGAGGACAGGATTTGTGAGGAAAGAGACAAGGGGAAGGTTTCTCACTTTGAACTTGCAGAGAAATATTTGAGGTCAATTTGTTCAGGACCTTGTCTATTGGGTTTCAGACATGTGGTTTATATATACAGTTATCAAAATTTATTTATTTTATATATGACCTTAAAATTTTTATAACACTGGGAATAACCCCCACTGAACACAGAGACATCTGAAGTAGAAATGTATCCCATTATACTGGAAATTAACAATGCTCTGAATTCTTAATAAGTACTTGGACATTAGCTTCTGCACAGCAGGAGACATTCCTGAGCCTTTTTGCAAATTTCACATTTTGTATTTGCCATTTGAGGAGGGAATTATTTAACACCAACCTGCATTTATTGTGTAATATTTACAGAAAATAACTTTTAGCAGGTACCTAATCTTGAATGAGTCCACTACAGAAAAGACGCATCCTAGTTGCTAGGGAAAAAGAAGTTCAACCTATGGAGATTCCAAGAACTGCTAGAAAATAAGACAGAAGCAGGAAAAGTACAGTAAAGGGGAGGGATAAAGAGAAACTTTTAATGACCTCAGGGATTTCTATTGCCTGGTGTCCAAACAACTTACTTTACAGTCACCACATTGACTTCACTAATTGGCCTAAAAACACTGGCAGGTGGGAGCAGCTAAGCTGATTCATTTCACAGAAATCACTTAGAAGGGAGTCTGCACATTTTGCTTCATAAGACAGCCAGTGTGGTGGTGTGGTTAAGAGCGGTAGTCTCGTAATCTGGGGAACCGGGTTCGCATCTCCGCTCCTCCACATGCAGCTGCTGGGTGACCTTGGGCCAGTCACACTTCTTTGAAGTCTCTCAGCCCCACTCACCTCACAGAGTGTTTGTTGTGGGGGAGGAAGGGAAAGGAGAATGTTAGCCGCGTTGAGACTCCTGAAGGGGAGTGAAAGGCGGGATATCAAATCCAAACTCCTTCTTCTTCTTCATAACTTTCCTTCTAAGAGGGCTAGAGACTTAATTTTTTAATAGAAGCTTAGAGTCTAGGGAACCCGCCTGAGGGCACCAAAGAAGGCCTTGTGCCTGCTTGGCGATCTCCACTTTAAACCTTCCATGACACTCTTCTTGCATTTAAGAGGGGCTAACCTTTGCTTGGAAGCTTCCCTTGAACCTTTCTGGCACTTTGAAGCAGGAGATGGATCATTCCACAGCTTCCGTTTGAATTTTGAGATGTCTTATATAAAACACCTGGCAATGTTAACTGTCAGAGACATGATAGATGGACCTTAGGTATGACCCAGAATAGCTATTCTTATAATTGTCTCATTGCACTCTTGGGCACTCTTACTTGTAGGTCTGATTAAAAGGATGATCTGCTTTTGAGTAAACACATTTAAGCATGTATGCTACATTTTGCCTGAAAGGGTAATAGTGTGTGTGTGTGTGTGTGTGTGTAGGAATGACTGTTCAGCTCCTTAGATATAATAAATCCTTCTAATGATAGTAGTGTTCTATCCAAAACATGTGTCACTCAGAATGGACACAGGGTATATTATATATTTAGCTAACAATAAAGATTTAGAGATAATTTTTAAATAAATAATAGTCCGTGAAAGTGGACTACTACAATTGCCAAAACCCATTCAAAATGGGTATGCATGCACTCAGATAATTGCATACTTGAGCAATAAGGACACATATAATATTCACTGGAAATTAGTCTGAGGTAATAGGCCATTCATACAATCCATTTCTTTCCCACTAGTGCTTCCATTTACAGTGGTA